GAGGTTTTTTTTTAAAATACTGGTAGCCAGATTTTGTTCATTTTCATGGTTTCCTCCTTTCTGTTGAAATTGTCCACATGCTTGTGGATTTCAATGGCTTCTCTGTGTAGTCTGACATGGTGGTTCTGAGAGTGGTCCAGCATTTCTGTGTTCTCAAATAAAATGCTGTGTCCAGGTTGGTTCATCAGGTGCTCTGCTATGGCTGACTTCTCTGGTTGAAGTAGTCTGCAGGCAGTAAGGAGCCAGATCTTGAAAACTGCTAGGCCATTAAATGCTAATCAAGGTGGCTAATTGCTATATGCACACTTACCTGAAACAGACAAGAGTTCCTTCTCCCACTCTGAACATCCAACAGATATATAAACCCCATTTACGTATGTAAATATGTATGTAAACTTCACCTGACCAGTTTCCAACAGACCTCCCAACCTCTGAGGATGCCTGCCATAGATGCAGGCGAAACGTCAGGAGAGAATGCTACTGGGACATGGCCAGACTGCCTGAAAAACACACAACAACCCAGTTATTCCAGCCACGAAAGCCTTTTACGATAGGAAAAGAAATCCCACTTCAATCTTAGGAATAACTTACTGACATTCAAAGCTATTAGGCAGTGGAATTTGAGTCCAGTTGGAGTCACCTTCTCTGGAGAGATCTTTAAGCAAAGGCTGGATGGCCATCTGTTGGGAGTGCTTTGGAAAAAAGGGGGTTGGACTGGGTGGACTTTGGAGACTCTTCCAATGCTAGGCTACTTGGGAAGGCCATTGAGTTGACTGACTAGGTTTGGTAGCCATTTCCAGAAGGAGGAGATAGAGAGGAGCTTTTCCACCAAAATTAGAAATTTGGTTGCTTTTATTGTTCAATCACACAGCCTCTTTCACAGCAAACGTGGTTTTACGGAAAGAAGTAGCAGTAGGGTTTGTGTCCAGATAAAGATTTCCTCCAGAACTCCTCTGAGATTGTCTTCCTACCAGAAAAAAATATATTTGCAAACTGTCCTATCACTTTGTTTTTAGATTACTTTACTTTCCCAATTGCGAAAGGCCACAGAGACAATGTTTAGCCCTAAACATTTGCAGACCGGCTTGTGGAACAGCACGATTTATCCCCCAGATGTGATTAGCATTGACTTCGGGACACTTAGGACCGAGCGGCACTGGGAAAATACTATTACGGTCAAAAGATTAAGAAGAAGAGATGCACCAAAACCTCATCCGTGGAGCTGACTTCCTGTGTTGCTGGATTGTCTCAGAAATGCAAAACACAACAAACACACGGAGCGGTTTGGTATTGGCTTTGGGTCATATAGGTCTGCTTAGAATACATTTGCTGCTCCCTCTTGCAAGGAAGTGAGTGGATACGAGAGAAAGGACGCGCATGCATTTCGATTTAGCCTGGAATGAACGGAAAGGAGGGAAGTATTGTCGAAGGCTTTCATGGCTGGAATCACTCAGTTCTTGTGGGTTTTTTCAGGCTATATGGCCATGTTCTAGAGGCATTTCTCCTGACGTTTCGCCTGCATCTATGGCAAGCATCCTCAGAGGTAGTGATGAGGATGCTTGCCATAGATGCAGGTGAAACGTCAGGAGAAATGCCTCTAGAACATGGCCATATAGCCCGAAAAAACCCACAAGAACTGAAGGAGGGAAGTCTTGGTCAGAGAACGGCCAGAGTGTCTTGTGTCCAAATTTGGTGTCAATTCCCCCAGTGGTTTTCGAGTTCTGTTAACCCCACAAACGAACATTACATTTTTATTTATATAGATTATAAATAAGACCGGGGTATAGGGTGGCAACCTGTGCTGGACGGGGTTGCACTCCCCCTGAAGTCACAGGTCCGCAGTTTGGGGGTCCTCCTGGATTCTTCACTTACGTTTGAGGCTCAGGCGTCGGTGGTGGCCGGGAGGGCCTTTGCACAATTAAGACTCGTGCGCCAACTGCGACCGTACCTCGGGAAGGCGGATCTGGCCAAGGTGGTCCATGCCTTAGTCACCTCTAGACTGGATTACTGCAATGCACTCTACGTGGGGCTGCCCTTGAAAACGGCCCGGAAATTTCAGATGATCCAACGGGCGGCAGCCAGGTTGTTAACTGGGGCTCCTTACAGGGAGCGGTCATCCCTCCTGTTCAAGGAGCTCCACTGGCTGCCATTCATCTACTGGACCCAATTCAATGTGCAGGTTCTTACCTACAAAGCCCTGAACAGTTTGGGACCTGCCTACCTGCGTGACCGCATCTCTGTATACGAACCCACACGATCTCTTTGTTCATCTGGAGAGGCCCTGCTCTCGATCCTGCCAGCATCGCAGGCGTGATTGGTGGGGACGAGAGAGAGGGCCTTTTCGGTAGTGGCCCCTCAACTCTGGAACTCACTCCCTAAGGACATCAGGCAGGCCTCAACTCTGGCAGTCTTTAGGAGTATATACTATAATTATATTTAATATTTTGTCAAAGGCTTTCATGGCTGGAATCACTGGGTTGTTGTAGGTTTTCCGGGCTATAAGGCCATGTTCTATATGGCCATGTTCTAGAGGCATTCGTGTTGTTCCAGTGTGCCTTCCCAGAATAATGATTCCATAGCACTTTGTCCTCCAAAGCACTTTATATTTTTAGGTCTGCTTGTTTTCCACAAACGCCCCATCACTTTTTTCACCCATGTTCCAGCATTACTTCCAATTTTCATTTTACATTTGGCCTCCCATAGTTTCTAATCGTGTGGTCTTATTGTTAATGTTATATGTTTATCGTTTATGTTTGATTTTAATTGCTTGTATTGTTGTGATTATTGACTGTATTGTTGTGTTTGGGCTCGGCCTCATGTAAGCCGCACCGAGTCCCTTGGGGAGATGGTAGCGGGGTACAAATAAAGTGTTGTTATTATTATTATTATATTGTTATCAATTTGGGAGTCAGAAAGGGGACTCAGGAAAGCAACTCAGAGAAACAGGGGAACAGGTTGCTAAATGGAGGCTAAGACATCCTGCATATCAGATATTTACATTACAATTCATAACAGTAGCCAAATTACAGATATGAAGGAGCAACAAAGATGATTTTATGGTTGGGGGTCACCACAACATTGAGGAACTCTATTAAGGGGTCGCAGCATTAGGAAGGTTGAGAACCACTGCCTTGTAGGACCATGATGGCGAATCTGTGACACGCGTGTCAGCACTGATACGCCTGGCAATTTTCTATGACACGCGGCCACATATGGCTGCATACAGAGAAATATAGGGCTGCATCAGGGGCAGCTGAAGCAACTTACGCATTTCCCTGTGAAATAACGTCCAGGGTGGGAGAAAGAACTCTTGTCTGTTGGAGGCAAGTGTGAATGTTGCAACTGGCCACCTTGATTAGCACTGAATGGCCTTGCAGCTTCAAAGTCTGGCTCCTTCCTGCTCAGGGGAATCCTTTGTTAGGAGGTGTTAGCTGGGTCTGACTGATTCTTGTCTGGAATTCCTCTGTTTCCTGAGTGTTGCTATTTCTTTACTGTCCTGATTTTGAGTTTTTTAATACTGGTAGCCAGATTTTGTTCATTTTCATGGTTTCTTCCTTTCTGTTGAAATTGTCCACATGCTTTGTGGATTTCAATGGCTTCTCTGTGTACTCTGACATGGCTTTACTCACAATTTTTCCCTCTACGTACTTTTGTGAGACCTTATTCTCTGTGCTAAACAATATCAAAACCATCAAAAGAAACAGATTGACAGGTGATGTTAGTAGCACTTGCTTGGGCTTGAAGTGTACAAAATGCCAACCTTCAATTGAACATTTAGTCGATGAAATTCAGCAAAAAAAAGTCACTAATAGGCAGCTTAGTTAAAGAATTTATCCTCCCATTATGCATTTTTGTTACTTAAACTATAAATATCGCAAAATTATGGGGTTTTTTTTCTTCTCAAAGTGGCACCCCACCTGAATTATGCTCGGTTTTTTGGCAGATTTTGACACACCAAGCTGAAAAGGTTGCCCATCACTGTTATAGGATATTTTATGAAGGAGGACAAGAAGAACCGGGCATGTTAAATAAAAGATCCGACCTTTATTTTAAAATACAATACAATGCATTTGTACATAAGTCATTCTCTCACAGGCGAGGGAACACAATACTGCTTTCTGCCTTGGCATTGGGCGGGTTGAGGTCTCCCTGGCTGTTATAATAGGGTGAGCGCAGTGGTTCTCAGATGTTTTTGGCTTTCAACTCCCAGAAATCCTAAACTGGCTGGGATTTCTGGGAGTTGTAGGCCAAAAACATCTGGGGACCCCAGGTTGAGAACCACTGGGTGAGCGGTTTTCTTGGGTGGGAAATCCCAACTCCTTCCAGGCAACTGAGTTCCCTCATTAAGGGCTTCTGGGTTCAGCTATGACCTAATAATAATAATCAGGAATTTTAACTTAAGATTAAAAACAAAACCCCACAAGACTGAATTAATTAAGGCCAAGAACGGTCGGGTCGGTCGGTCGATCCTACCGCTGCTTCTACTTTGGCTTGTGAAAGAAAAGAAAAAACCTGTACACTTTTTTTATTATAAAATTTGTGTTTGTTTTTTTTTTACATTAGTTACACACACACGCGCACAAAAAGTTCCTTATACTTACTTCATAGACCTTTAACTTCATATCGTATTGAAAAAAAGTTTTTGCATAATCGTCTTATTAGGTACACAGAAGTGGCTATGCTGGTGAATACTAAAAGGTGTTTCGGTAATACAATACGGTGTTAAAAAATAAAATCGGAGACGAAAGGATCGAGAAAGAGAGGTGGACGCGCACAATATAGAAAGGGTTATCAAATGGAAAGTTTAGAGCGGGTACGGGGACAATTTGGGCCTTGGAGGTGTGTTGGACTACAACTCCCATCATTCCTAACAGCCTCAGGCCCTTTCCTTTTCCCCCTCAGCCGCTTAGGAATGATGGGAGTTGTAGTCCAACACACCTCCACGGCCCAAGTTGGCTCTTACCTGCGTTAGAGTCATAAAACCTTGAAACGAAGGAGTATTTTAGTATTTTTCTAAGGCCACGCTTGATTGCTTCGGTCAAAGCGCCAGGCTCCTCCTCCCGTAAAGGGTCTGGGATATGTAGTGCGGAAAACAAAGGGACATCATCATCATCATCATCATCCATTGAGCACCATGGCTGCGCAACAGGAAGCAGTCCGTGCGAAAGCCCTTCCTAATTGCACACCGAAAGGCTAATTGCACACACGGGACCGTCCACTTTGCAATATATATATATCTATCTGATTAAAAAAAACCCTCACAAAACATGCATTAAACATGATAAATAGACTTCATATAGACTAGGCCCTGGGTTTCTTTAAGAGTCTAAATGGCTTAAGGGTTATTTCGTCGGTTTGGTTAGCTTACGACGGCGAGAAACGATCGACCTGATCGTCCACTCCTTCGCTCAAGAGGCACAAGCGAACGGTCCGTAGTATTATTATGATTATGGTCTCGTTCAAGCACAAAAGTGTGTTCGAAAGCACATACGGACCGGTCTGCTAAGGCAGAGGTTTCCACGATTTGTTTGTTTGTTTTGAAAAGAAAGGAGGAGGAAATAAAATGATACACTTCAAGCTTAACTTGATTAAGCAGCATATTTCAAATAACAGCTTTTGAAGTTAAATATTAATATGGCCATTTTGAGTTTGACGTCAGCGCTGCACAATAAGGTCTGTCCGGCTCACACCCAGCCGCTGGTCAGTTTGTAAAACATCTCCTCATCTAGGCTCTCGTTCTGGTCCTTGGCCCGCGTCGAGAGGAAGATGTAGCCGCCGATGAACTCGTGCACCACCTTGCAATCCACTTCGGTGCAGATGAAGGACACGCGGACCTCGTCGGCAAACTCCACCGTCACCTGAAAGGCAAGACCGGGCTGCTTTGAAAAGGTGAGTCCAAAACAGGCGTAAACAAGCCCTATGAGGAGCGGCTTAAAGAGTTGGGCAAGTTTAGCCTGAAGAAGAGAAGGCTGAAAGGAGAAATGATGAGCGCCAGGTATACAGATGTGAGAGGATCTGGTCACGGTGGTCCACATTCTGGTTACATCCCGAATAGATTACTGCAACGCGCTCTACGTGGGGCTGCCTTTGAAAATGGTTCGGAAACTTCAGGTAGTTCAACGGGCAGCAGCCTGATTACTAACTGGGGCGGCATACAGGGAGCATACCACCTCCCTGCTATGCCAGCTCCACTGGCAGGTGGTCAATCTCCGAGCCCAATTCAAAGTGCTGGTTTTGACCTATAAAGCTCTATATGGTTCGGGCCCAGCTTACTTGTCCGAATGCATCTGCCCTACATCCCACCTCACAATTTAAGATCATCCGGGGAGGTCCTGCTCTCGTTCCCATCAACAGTGCAACTGCGTCTGGTGGGGACGAGGAGCGGGGCCTTCTCAGCTGTGGCCCCCCGCCTATGGAACATACTCCCAAAGGAGGTAAGATCTGCTCCCTTGCTCCTGACCTTTAGAAAAAAAATTAAAATCACGGTTCTGGGACCAGGCTTTCGGAAAATAGATGTATGCAGTTTTTAGTGGGATAAGGACTGGAACGGCGACTTGACTGATGAGATTGTTTTATGGTTTTAATAACTGTTTAAACATAAACATTAATATGATTTATGTTTAAAGTATGGTTTTAATATTGTAGTTGTGAGGTATTGAATTTTTGCCATTATCTATGTGTAAACCACTTTGAGTCCCCCTCGGGGTGAGAAAAGCGGTATATAAATGCTGTAATTAATTAATTAATTAATTAATAAGAGGAAGTCATAGGGAGGAGGGAGGAAGCTTCCTTTCTGCTGCCCTGGAGACTAGGACACAATGGAGCCATGGCTTCAAACTACAAGAAAAGAGATTCCATCTGAACACGAGGAACAACTTCCTGACTGTGAGAGCTGTTCAGCAGTGGAACTCTCTGCCCCGGAGTGTGGTGGAGGCTCCTTCTTTGGAAGATTTTAAACAGAGGCTGGATGGCCATCTGTCGGGGGTGCTTTGGATGCAATATTCCTGCTTCTTGGCAGAAAGGGTTGGACTGGATGGCCCACGAGGTTTCTTCCAACTCTATGATTCTATGAGCAAACTTTCTGACTTGGAGACTGCATAGTGAGCCGGAGCGGGGTGGGTGGGCCGGGAAGGAGTGGGATCTCCCCAAGCCCCCTCCCTGCCCTTTCCTCTTCTCTTTTGGATGCAGAAAGTGAAGAAAAGATGGGAAATGTTTGGATCCTGAAAGGATTGGTCTTGGTCAGGATGAGATGGTGGACGGGAGAGAAGAAGTATATCCATTAGATATACCGTACTGCCTACTCCTGATATAGAATCCTAGATCTGGAAGAGACCCCCAAGGTCCATCCAGTCCAACCCCCTGCCATGCAGGAAGGCACAATCACAACACTCCCAATAGACAGCTTATGTGGAAAAGCCTCCAGAGAAGGAGACTCCACCACACTCTCAAGCAGCCTAGGCTGCTCTCCAAAAAGTTCTTCCTAATCTTTTCAATCAAATCTCTTTCCCTGCCATTTGAAGCCATTGCTCCCTTGGTAGAAAGTCAGTTTCCCCCCCTCTCTTCCTCCTCAATGGAATACCCTTTAAATCTTAGGAATTGTGGGAGTTGGCGTCGACACCTCGAGGGCCCAAGCCTCTGAGTGTCTGTCTATATATGTTGTGTGTCTATGGCATTGAATGTTTGCCATGTATATGTACATTGTAATCCGCCCTGAATCCACTGTGGGGTGAGAAGGGCAGATTATAAATACTGTAAATAAATAAATAAATAAATAAATAAACAAACAAACAAACAAATAAATAAGTAAGTTAGTTCCAGATTGCACATGCTGATGAGATTCACCCAAAGCAGCCTGAAGGAAAACCCAGGAATTCTGCTTGAAAACACTTGAATATTACTGTTGCATTGAAAGTGGAAAGGCTGCAAACATGGACTTGAAACAGAAAGGAAGAGGGAGTCAATGGTTCCTCCTTCTTCCCTTCGGTGGGTTCCAGATGTTAACGCCCCAAATTGCTGCATCCCTGCACATCTGGGCAGCTTGCAACCAGTTAGGAAAGGCTGCAATGTGGTATCCTGGATGTTGAGCCGGCACCGAACGCTTTGGGAACACACCCAACTCACCATTTTGATTTCCCAGTTGACATTCCACTGCTTCATGTTGCTGAACCGCCACGTCTTGATGGCATCGCTGGTGCTGGCATCCATCCGGATGAGCCGGTTGTAGGCGATCCCAATCAGCTCCTCCTTCTTGCCCCCTTGGAACCTAAAATATTACATATTTTCAGAATTATGAGACTCGGAAGAGATCCCAAAGAGGGCCATCTAGTCCAACCCACTTCAGCCAGGCAGGAAGACAACACCCAATCCCTCCCGACAGATGGCCATCCAGATTCTGCTTTAAAACTTCCAGAGGAGACTCCATCAGACTCCTAGGTGTCAGCATATTCCACTGTCAAATGGATGCATGGATGAATGGTACGGACCTTGCAATGAAGTGGGTGATGCCGAACTCCGGTAGGGACTGCCAGGCTTGTATGAATCTCATCTTGGCTTCAATGAGGCTCATCTGGGCCACGTTTTGATGGGCCTCCAAGATCCGGGCCGTGATCTGTAAGGTTTTGGGGAAGAGAGACAACGAGACATGAGGCAAGTGCCGTATGTTTGGGATGCTGTAGGAAAGAAAACAAAGAGAGGGGGGAAATCTCTATATAGAAAGTCAAAGTTTGTTAGTTTGTTTGATCCACAAAGGCTCCGCCATGGCTTGATGAATGTGGCCCAACTCTGGTGCATAGACACTTTGTTACCCAACTTAAAATAATTGTGGGCTTTCAACTACAAAACCCACCCAGTTTTGGGTCCAGAGCCCCCCAAAATAATACACATGTAGTACTTGGGTTCAACCACAAGAGGGTAGCATAGAGTTGCAAATGCTACCTAAGAGGGTGAAAGTGGCATCCTGTAGAAAAGGCCCAGCATGATGACTACCAGGAGGCAAAAACCACACCTCACAAAAAAGCCTAACCCAGGCAATGCTGGTTATTTACACTAGGAGATAAATAAGAAAGGATAAACAACAGCAGCTGCACTTTTTGTAATACTACACTTGTATCTGAAACAGTGCCTGAGTTTTCTTTTAAATGGCAATATTGATTTTGGCCACTGCTTTTGTGTGAAACTGTGAAGTCTTCGTTGTTTGCCCCACCTGAAATCTAGATACATATTTATTTATGATCCTGTCTTGGCTCACTATTATTACTAATTATTGTTGTTGTTGCTGTTGTTATTATTATTATTATTATCTCATCCTACGAACCCTCCAGGAACTTGAGATCGTCGGAGGAGGCCCTGCTCTCGATCCTGCCTGCTTCGCAAGCACGTCTGGCGGGGACGAGAGACAGGGCCTTCTCTGTGGTGGCCCCTCGGCTGTGGAACTCCCTGCCTAGGGATATTAGATTAGCCCCCTCGCTCCTGACCTTTCGAAAAAGAGTAAAAACTTGGCTCTTTGATCAAGCATTTGGAACCTCCGAATAAATAGACAAACTTGAATCGAGAAATGACCCAGGAACGGCCCAAGATGATGGAACGGATAAGGACTTGAACGAGAGGACATAGTTTTCTGTGTTTAAAATTGTTATTATGCACTGTCTTTATGTTTAAATGCACTGTAATGGTTCTTTTTGTTTATCAATGTATGTATTTTTATGGCATCGAATTGTGCCGACTGCGTATGCCGATCTGAGTCACCTTCGGGCTGATATGGGCAGGGTAGAAATAATGCAAATAAATAAATTAATATTATTATTATTTATACCCTGCTTTATCTCTCCCGAAGGAGACTCAAAGCAACTCAAAGTCTCTATATTGAGAGCAAGGCGGAATAAGAATTAAAGTAAATTAATATGAGTAAGTTATGGAGGAGGAAAGGAAGGAGGGCCAAAGTCGCTTCCTCTTATTAGGAATACGCTTAATGTTTTTTTTTTACTGTGTTTATACTTTGTTTCTATGTAATTTTGATGATGTTGCTTGTTGTTTAATGTTTTGGTTTTATTTTGCTGTAATATGTTGTCTGGACTTGGCCCCATGTAAGCCACTCCGAGTCCCCATTGGGAGATGGTGGCGGGGTATAAATAAAGATTATTATTATTATTATTATTGGGTTGTTGTAGGTTTTTTCGGGCTATATGGCCTTGGTCTAGAGGCATTCTCTCCTGACGTTTCGCCTGCATCTATGGCAAGCATCCTCAGAGGTAGCGAGGTCTGTTGGAACTAGGAAAAAGGGTTTATATATCTGTGGAATGACCAGGGTGGGACAAAGGACTCTTGTCTGCTGGAGCTAGGTGTGAATGTTTCAACTGACCACCTTGATTAGCATATAATCCGCTTTGAGTCCCCCTAGGGGTGAGAAAAGCAGTATAGAAATACTGTACATAAATAAATATAATGGCCTGACAGTGCCTGGAGCAAACTTTTGTTGAGAGGTGATTAGATGTCCTTGTTTGTTTCCCCTCAGTTGTTGTGCTGTTCTAATTTTAGAGTTTTTTTAATACTGGTAGCCAGATTTTGTTCATTTTCATGGTTTCCTCCTTTCTGTTGAAATTGTCCACCTGCTTGTGGATTTCAATGGCTTCTTTGTGTAGTCGGACATGGTGGTTGTGAGAGTGGTCCACCATTTCTGTGTTCTCAAATAAAATGCTGTGTCCAGGTTGGTTCATCAGGTGCTCTGCTATTATTATTATTATTATTATTATTATTATTATTATTATTATTATTATTATTATTACTAGAAGCACTGGAGCCCCTGGTGATGCAATGGGTTAAACCCTTGTGCCGGCAGGACTGAAGACTGACAGGTTGGAGGTTCGAATCTGGGGAGAGCGCGGATGAGCTCCCTCTGTCAGCTCCAGCTCCCCATGCGGGGATGTGAGAGAAGCCTCCCACAAGGATGGTAAAACACCGGGACTGTGGCGCAACTGGCTGAGTGTCAGCTGCATTAAGATCACTCTGACCAAAAGGTCATGAGTTCGAAGCCAGCCCGGGTTGGAGTGGGTTTCCAACCAATTGTGTAGCCTGTTGTCGACCTTTGCAACCCGAAAGACAGTTGCATCTGTCAAGTAGGAAAATAAGGTACCGCCTTAAAGTGTGGGGAGGCTAAATTAACTGATTTATGAGGCCATAAAGAAGACTCCAGCAAAGCATTCCAGCGGGGAAGCACGCGGGGAATGCGGAAGTGCTTCATCAGCGTCGCAGATGGACGATGAAAGCGACAGCTCCCCTGGCGGCCAGAAAAAGTTAAATAGCCTCTGTGTATGTCTGTATATCAAAAATTGGCATTGAATGTTTGCCATATATGTGTACACTGTTATCCGCCCTGAGTCCCCTGCGGGGTGAGAAGGGCGGAATATAAAAGCTGTAAATAAATAAAATAAATAAAACATCAAAAACATCTGGGCGTCCCCTGGGCAACGTCCTTGCAGACAGCCAATTCTCCCACACCAGAAGCGACTTGCAGTGTTTCTCAAGTCGCTCCTGACACAAAATTTAAAAAAATAAATAAATTAGAAGCACTGCTGAACTGGAGATGATTTAATGCTCCTAAGTGTAATAATCCCCAAATGGGTGGAGCACAACATCATCAGCTATTTTTCAAGAGAAAAAAAATGCACAAATATTAATAAACATATTCCTCCCCAAAATAGAAGAATCTCATTTCCTGGATCTCTTAGCTACTTTGAAAACAAACATATTTCTAGCCCTTTCAGATGTGGAAAAAAAATCTAAATATGCAGGCAATCTCTGGGGAAGTCCCTGGTTTCAAATGCAAAATGTGTTTTGACGACTTTGAACTGATTATGGAGGAGGTAGTCGTAGTCATCGTCATCATCATGCTTTTCCTCTACTTTTAGACTCAAGGTGTCTTCCAAGTGTTAAAACACAAACACTCACAACACATAAAGGTTTAAAAACCAATGACACTAAAAGGATTGAAAACAATCGCAAAACAACAAATAACAAATGCCAACATCCGCACAAATGATGTATGTTAAAGGTGTTCAATCTTCAACCAGGCCAAGCAAGTTATTTATATGCTGCAGCAGATTAAATCAAACTTTCATGCTACAAATAGAGCAGAGAAAGAGACAGAGAAAAAAAATACAACATTCTTATTTATGAAGCACTGGAATAGGAATACTTCATGACGACCTAAATCCTTATATAGCAGGCATGGACCAACTTTGGCCCTCCCTCCAGGTGTTTTGGACTTCAACTCCCACAATTCCTAACAGCCTAGGCTGTTAGGAATTGTGGGAGTTGAAGTCCAAAACACCTGGAGGGAGGGCCGAAGTTGGTCCATGTCTGCTGTAGATGAATCCCTCCTTGATCAAAAAGATGTGGATGTGGTCATGTGGTTTCCCCATTCAAGCTGCAAACCTTGAAAGCTGGCAAAGGGCTGTGTCCACATTCCAAAATTTGTGCCCCATCGAAGATACTGGCTCTGGCTGCTTTGTGTAATTTATAAACAGCGCTGGGAAAAGGTGATAGTCCCAATCCATCCTGCTTTGGTGAGATCTCTTTACCAGGATGAAATATGTCCAGAGAAGGGCCACCAAAAGGGCCAAAGGTCCAATTCTGCATGGCTTTGGGAGCAGGGACTGTCCAGCTTGGGAGAAGGGAAGGCTGAGAAAGGACATGAAAACCATGTATTGTTGAAGGCTTTCATGGCCGGAAACACTGGGTTGTTGTGGGTTTTTTCAGGCTATATGGCCATGGTCTAGAGGCATTTCTCCTGACGTTTCGCCTGCATCTATGGCAAGCATCCTCAGAGGTAGTGAGGTCTGTTGGAACTAGGAAAAAGGGTTTATATATCTGTGGAATGACCAGGGTGGGACAAAGGACTCTTGCCTGCTGGAGCTAGCTGTGAATGTTTCAACTGACCACCTTGATTAGCATTTGATTGCTTGGCAGTGCCTGGAGTAATCTTTTGTGGAAGAGTTTTGAAGGTGGAGGCATTACTTTTCATTGAAATCTCGTACTTTCAAAGTAAGGACCTCATAATTAAACAGAAAACAACACTTTAAAAGCAGGAGCAGATTTTTTTTTTTCAAATTTTGTTACATAGTGTTATTTTGTGACATTAAAGAAAATTACACAAAAGCATCCAGGCCTCAAAACACGACAAACTCCATTCAACGGCGTGCATCTCTTGCCCTTATTTTAACATTGACTGGCAACACGGCAAACTCTCAAGCGCTTGTTTGTTTGTCTCTCACTCACTTACCAGGTCTCTGATATGGCCTAGCTGCAGAAGGACAAACGCAAAGGAAAGAAAAGGAAGCAGACAAAAAAGCAATGAGATATATGGCAAATGAGGCCAAAAAGAGGAAAATGGGCAAATTATCAGTAAGAACAATAGTTCAAACCATTTGAAACAGAACAAAAATCAGCAAATGAAACCCAAAAACCTTCAAGAAAACCAGCAAGACATTAAAAAAAACCCCATAAATGATGGAGGAAAAGGTGAGCCAAAAAAGGTCTGAACAGCGGAATATCATCAGAAGTTGTTTTCACTTTTCTTTTTCAACCGACTGCAAAATCTAGACACTTCTCAGTTTCCCTTAAATTGAGTTATTATTATGGAAAGGGAGAAACCCCTTTTTCTCCTTGTTTGGCATTTTTATGCCCATTTGTTTGTTGATCTTATTTATTCCTCTAAGAGCCACAGAGACACTCGCTGGAACACCTCAGCAAGCGAGAGTCCAAAAGTGGCAGGCTCAAACCCAGAACCTCAACCAATGGCTGATACCAAATGAGAGACTCCCCCCTGGGCACACAGAGGACTGGGCAACTTGGAAGGCGCTGAACAGACTGCGCTCCGGTACCATGAGATGCAGAGCCAACCTTCAGAAATGGGGCCACAAAGTGGAATCCATGTCATGCGAGTGGAGAGGAGCAAACCACAGACCACCTGCTGCAATGCAACCTGAGTCCTGCTACATGCACAATGGAGGACCTCCTTGCGGCAACACCAGAGGCACTCCAAGGGGCCAGATACTGGTCAAAGGACATTTAATCAACTACCAAGCTTGCAAATTATGTGTTTTGTCTGTTTGTTTGTTTTTGTTAAAAATGTAATACAAATGTCTGGTGGCTGATGACATGATAAATAAATAAATTTATTCCTCTTCCCAAAATTTAGGGAAATGATGTTACAAGTAGCAGCCAATAGTGAAAGGACCAAGGCAGTGACATCTCCGGCCCATCCTTTGTTCGGATATCAGCCAGCACGCCAATGCCTTAAATCAAGAAACATCTTCGACTGAGATATTTGCAGGAACACCTCAGCAAGTGAGAGTCCAAAAGTGGCAGGTGAAAACCCAGAACCTCAATCCGTGGCTGAGACTGGATGAGAAACTCCCTCCTGAGCACACATAAGAGTGGACAATCTGAAAGGCGCTGAGCCGGTTGCGGTCTGGCACCACGTGGTGCAGAGCCAATCTTAAGAAATGGACTACTACAAAGTGGAGTTCACAACATGAAAGTGTGGAGAAGAACAAACCACACACCACCTACTACAGCAGTTCTCAACCTGGGGTGTCAGAGGGGTTTCCAAAGTCCCTCAAGAAACACTGTATTTTCTGGGTTGTTGTAGGTTTTTCAGGCTATGTGGACATGTTCTAGAAGCATTCTCTCCTGACGTTTTGCCTGTATCTATGGCAAGCAACCTCAGAGGTTGTGAGACCTCACAACCTGAGGATGCTTGCCATAGATACAGGCAAAACGTCAGGAGAGAATGCTTCTAGAACATGGCCATATAGCCCGAAAAACGTACAACAACACAGTGATTCCAGCCATGAAAACCTTCGACAATACAGTATTTTCTGTTGGCCACGGGAGTTCTGTGTGGGAAGTTTGGCCCAATTCTATCATTGGTGGGGTTCAGAATGCTCTTTGATGGTAGGTGTACTATAAATCCCAGCAACCACAACTCCCAAATGTCAAGGTCTATTTTCTACAAACTCCACCAGTGTTCACATTTGGGCATATTGAGTATCCAAGTTTGGTCCAGATCCATCACTGTTTTCTCCACAGTGTGTCCATGGTGCTTTCTGGATGCAGGTGAACTACAACTCCAAAACTCAAGGTCAATGCCCACCAAACCCTTCCAGTATTTCCTGTTGGTCATGGGAGATCATTGTGCCAAGATTGGTTCAATTCCATCAGAGGTGGAGTTCAGAATGCTCTTTGATTGTAGGTGAACTATAAATCCCAGCAATTACAACTCCCAAATGACAAAATCAACTTCCCCCCCAACCCCACCAGTATCCACATTTGGGTGTCTTGCTTGTGTTTTTAAATATAATTGTAGTCTCAACTCGCTTCTGACACGATAAATAGAGAAATGATGAAACAGCCTGCTAATAAATGACTACAAAATGCAAAATAGGAAGAAAGAGTTTTCCGAATGTCTTGAATTTCCTAAATTTTCAGGCAAAAATACTGCAAAGTGAAGCACAACTACTAAGTTGTTTCAAGTCAAGGGTGGGGCTGTTTTTGCCTGCTATAGCAACCAAATAAGAAAAAGGAACCACAGAGATGAAGTCTTACATGACAGTAAAGACATCTATTTAAGTCATTTCCAGCTTTGCTCTGGTGATGTGTCCCTTTCCCTCAAATTACAGTCTTGCTTTCTTCTCTCTGCCTTCACAAACTAACACAATACCAGATCATGAAAAGCCTTTGCCGCAACACAATGATAAAGATTCTAGATCCCTGTGAATTACACGATTTTCGTTCCTGATTTATAAATGTCATTTTCTAATTGTTTCTAGCATAATGACATGTGAGAAGTTTATCAAACTGCAAAAACTTGCAGGAGGGACATAATCCTGCAGCTCATTTTGCTATTGTTTTTCAATGAGTGTGTTGTTTTTGTGATATGTGCTGGGGAGAACATTTAAATTTGTAATACGATGACAATAAAGTTATTCTATTCTAGTCTATTCTATGGACGTTATGGCAAACTGTCCAATTCTGGGCACCACAATTCAAGAGAGATATTGACAAGCTGGAATGTGTCCAGAGGAGGGCGACTAAAATGATCAAGGGTCTGGAGAACAAGCCCTATGAGGAGCGGCTTAAGGAGCTGGGCATGTTTAGCCTGCAGAAGAGAAGGCTGAGAGGAGATATGATAGCCATGTATAAATATGTGAGAGGAAGCCACAGGGAGGAGGAGGGAGCAAGCTTGTTTACTGCTTCCCTGGAGAATAGGACGCATTGGAACAATGGCTTCAAACTACAAGAGAGGAGATTCCATCTGAACATGAGGAAGAACCTCCTGACTGTGAGAGCTGTTCAGCAGTGGAACTCTCTGCCTCGGAGTGTGGTGGAGGTTCCTTCTTTGGAAGCTTTTAAACAGAGGCTGGATGGCCATCTGTCAGGGGTGATTTGAATGCAATATTCCTGCTTCTTGGCAGAATAGGGTTGGACTGGATGGTTCATGAGGTCTCTTCCAACTCTTTGATTCTATGATTCTATAGTGAGAGGAAGGCTGCTCCTTTGAGATGGCCTTGGTGCATTCCCTTTCTGTGGAATAATCCTTGACTTATCCGTGGGTCAGATCCACATCCATAATTTTGCCCCTTTAAATTTACATGTGGTTGATGTATACACGGTTGGAGTCCCTGGTGGCGCAGCAGGTTAAACTGCTGAGCTGCTGAACTTGTTGGCGGTTCAGGGAGCGGGGTGAGCTCCCACTGTTAACCCCAGCCTGTTTAAAACAGGAATTTGATGTTCCTGTCTCTCCGCTGAATCAGATGATATCTGGAGGGGCCGTGGTAGCACAGTGGGTTAAACCGCTAGCTGCAGAAAACTTGATGACCGGAAGATTAGCAGTTCAAAGCTGTGGGTCAGGGTGAGCTCCCGCTGTTAGCCCTAGCTCCTGCCAACCTAGCAGTTCGAAAGCATGCAAATGTGAGTAGATCAATAGGTACTGCCTTGTCAGGAAGGTAAAGGTGCTCCATGCAGTCACGTTGACTGCATGACCTTGGAGGTGTCTCTGGACAAGGCTGGCTCTTCGGTTTAGAAATGGAGATGAGCACCACCCTCTAGAGTTGGACTCGACTAGATGTAACGTCAAGGGAAACCTTCCATTTTTACCTCTATAGGGTAGGTCCAATCGTAAATCACCTTTCCATACCAAAAAATAATTTGCCAGTTGACATCACACCAGCCGAGGGCAGAAATGCTTTGCTAAGAGTCACTCTCTGGAGCTTGCTATATCTGTTTTGATCATAAGACACAGGCTTCTGATTGTGAAGAAACAAATCTGATTTCCTGGCAAATGCCCGGCGTGAACATGTGATGGGGTTTATCTCTGCCAGTTGACAGATCCTACAGACTTCTGATGGGCTGCTACCTCAGAAGCAAGAAATGTTTTCGCTGTACTCAACTATTCCCTGTCTGCATTCTGCAAATTCCACGAAGGCAACCCTTTCTTGCATTCCTCCCTTCGGCATTCAGTGATCCTGGGCAAGAATCAGATCTGCCAAAGCAGAAGCCCCAACCTAAAACTATGAGGGGAATACTTGCGGGGATTCCTAAATGGCAGGATTCCACTTTTGCTTTCCCTCAAGCCATAAGGAGAGGAGGGTAATAGATATTTTAGGGTGTTTTGTGGTTTCCGGGCAGGAAAAACGTCAGGTGAAAATGCTGCTAGAACATGGCCAAACAGCCCCGAAATCACACAACACCCAAGTGATTCCGGCCATGAAATCCTTTGACAATGCAATAAATATGGTCACACTAGAAAGCTATGTGTCTGCCCATTTGCACAACAGAGATTGAGCATACGGTCGCACTTTGAGGACCTGGAGGGAATATTTGCAATCCCTTTGGATCGAGGCGAGGAACAACAGATAAACATACAGCAACAAATAGACAAAAAACATCATTAAAAACATAAATACCAATTCTAAATACATAATTGGTTAGGAGAGCATAACATTTGTAAAAATAGCATACACATTAAAAACAATCAATTCTTAATTTGAAAAATTGACATTTAAAAACCATCTGGACAGCCCTGCTGGACGAGGTTGGTCTTTAATGCTGTTTTGAATGCATTTGGTGTATTGAGCTCAGACATCGGCAAACGTTTGGCCCTCCAGGTGTTTTGGACTTCAATACCCACAATTCCGGCTGTTAGGAATTGTGGGGAGTTGAAGTCCAAAACACCTGGAGGACTAAAAGTTTGCCTACACCTGAGCTCAATATACCAACACAGAGGTCCAAATGCAGCAA